GGGGCCCTCCCAACAACTCAAGATTCCAAACATGAAATACCGACGCTCAACGCTCTAGAAAAATCATGCAGCTTATGATACTATTGGTAAAACATTTAACCCCATTACTTAAGAACTTTCAAAATCCAAGATGGAGCTTCAACATTTTACACAAAAATTAAGCTATAACTTAAAAATCTTTTTATTTTACTTTTCTTACAAAAATATAATAAGGTGACGTATAAACTCATGAGAACTCTTCATCTCATGCAAAGTCAACTACATGTTTTAAATAGCAAACTGATTTTATAAAAAATTTTATAACTTAATTCAATAAATAATTAAATAAATAAATAAATAAATAAATACATAACAATCTGATTTTATGTTTATGGTACTTCTTCATCTCATGTAAACTCAACTTCATGTGATGCTTTTAAAAAAATCAGACAGGCTCATTATTCTTCTTAATTTAAAATAAATATAATTAACAAGACTTATACCATGAATAAACTACAAGCTATTTAAAAGACAACTGGAATAGCACCGATTGTGACGTAATTCAAGTACGTACTCAATCATGAGAAAATAAAGAGTATGACACTTTTTTTTTTTAAATTAACTCTATGAGGACACATGTTTGCTATGAAAGATCAACAAAGGCTAATATTGAAGGCTGCGAATACTTACTAAATGAAGTAGTAGACCTAACTCAAGAATTTAGGCACTCGAACTAATTTAATCCGAACAGCTCGTTGTAACTCAAAGGTCTTATGAGTTGAGTACCTATTACTCATACTTGACTTTTCTATCTAACTAATATCAACACACTCACCTTATCCCTCCAGGTCATGTCAATTGGAGTGTCATTAACATCCTCATTCTGGTTTTCCTCTTCATCACTGACAGTCTAAGAACAACCTCTAAATCCTCGTTTTTTTTTAAGCAAATGAGAACAATTCACTGCTAATATAAATATACACTATACATCTAGACCATAAAGGCATTCTTACTTCAGCCCTGTATCTAACGAACTATTCTTATTCATGTACAAAACTCTGAAATTAACTTTAAATACTTACTTGGAAGATGACGAGCACGTGTACGGTGACAAATGAAGTTACGGGACAACCTGGGCTCTGATACCAAACTTGTAACGCCCCTCTCAGGGTTAAAGGAATCGTTACACTAACTTACTACTTTTAAAAATAACTGCAATTAACGGCCGCCTATTTAAGAAAATAACCCTGATAAAATCTCAAATATAATTAAAATATAACTCTTGATAAAAACTCAATAAAATATAGTTATCACCAGCAAATATGATAACCACCTGGATCCAGGAATTTATTCAAACTTCAAATCCTTAAATAAAATAAAGTAAAATAATCTCTTTATTATAGCAACTGAAATACTGAAACAAAATAATAACTATCTAGAAGCCGTCAAGGTCGTTCCCGTTAACTCATCTTGGCACGCGTTCCACTCCCTCGTCATCTTCCTAGGCCTTGGCCTTACCCTTAGTATCTGTACATGCGAAGAAAGAAACTGATAAGCTTTACGCTTAGTAAGTCACTATGGCTCCACAAAAATATCTAGAAGTCTAGGCCAATTTATCAATAGATAAATTTAGGCTACAAGCATGCACTGAACGAATAACGAACACATAACTTGTCAAATACATTCTGAGGGAGATCTCAAAGGAAAATATTTTCTAAAATAATTTCTCAAAACTGCTGGAGAGATCTCAAAATATCTTTCTCAAAACATCTCTGTAAAACTTTCTGAAGAGATCTCAAAAACAACTTTCTGTAAAACTTTCTGAAAGAGATCTCATTAAACTTTCTGTAAACTCTTTGTGGCTAATTTTAACCGTGGGCCCGTGATATGTACTCAATGGCGCCAATCCGACAGCTCAGGGGAGCGACCCACTAAACATATCGGACTATCTAAAACTAAAACTGCTAATCTGAGGGATCTAGTTCCCGAGTACATATCACTTAATCTTTCACTTTAAGTATTAGTTCTTTTTATGGTGACGTTTGACTAAAAACATCATTAAATCTGGAAACAAAAGTACTAACAAATCTTGACTATGCCAGATAATAAACATAACTTAATCTAGCAATAAAATAACTCATCACATAATTCACATAGTTCACAAAATAGCAAATAGTCTAAATTTTCTATTAAAAATCAACCAGACTTCTTTCTTGCATTTGGTTGAACAAACATGTACAGGTGGTAGTGAACTTACCTGTTAACAGCTGAACTGAAAATACTCAAATAAGTGTGGCACCTTGATAACGTCTTCCGATAAGCTCTCCTCTTAAATCTTTAATTAAATGTAATAGCAAAATAAGAATCTGCTAGTAATTAAGCATGACTACATTACGGAGGCTTAGCTACTACATACTGGAATATAATCATCTGAGAGATTATTTACTTGCTCTCTCTCAATATGGACAAACTGGATAAAACTAATTGGTAATCAATAATATTACTATCAAATCCATTACAGTTTAAACCAAAGCTCTATAAATAAACTTCAAGTTTCTGCTGAAAAGCACCAACCAGGGCAACAACCAAATCCCAAATCAACATAACCCCCTTAAGGAAAATTAAAACCGAAATAAGCTTTCTTTATAAAAGTAGCAATACTGAAATTTGAAAGAGAATTAAATTGATAGTTCAGATTCAGGAAACTGAACGCCTTTTGAAATAGCAATACTTCGTATTAAAAAGAATCAAGCTGTCCAAGGTTGTTTTATACTCAACTAAAGATAGGTATTGATGAATATCCTAGCGTTCATGCTTTACTAGAAAATCCCCAGCGAAAGATATATGATTGGGCATTGATATTTTACTGATGATGTTTACAGAAATTGAAATAGCTATTAACAAGTGGATATTCAAAAGATGATTTAACTTTAACTGAATCTTTTGACTCAAGCAATTTACTAAAACAGAGCCTTGCAAATCTTTATTTTGACCAAGGGAATTAACGAAAATCTTTTCAGAACTTATGCATCTGAACAATACCAATAGCATAACGAAAGTAAAGAGAATAAGACGGAAATTATCTTACCAAATTCCAAAACCAAGAAAACTAAAGTACTGAATTTGAAGGTGAAGCAATGTTTTGGGAGAGAAAACCAGAGAGGAGCCGCAATCAAGTTAGGGAGGCGCAGGTTTCTTTTTAAGATAATTAGGCTTATGAGTGTACTTTAGCATTAATCCTAGGGTTTTTATTAAAAAAATACTTAATTGGGCTAATAAATTGATCCAATTCGGGTCTATATAAATCTTTAAAAGAAAATATGTTTCTGAAACAAATAATAAAAATCTCCCTTTTACTTATGAAATGATAAAATCTAAAACATCATTTATTTCTTCAATTCAAATTATTATGAGCTTACCGGTCAACGTTACCTGCCAACAAACAAAACATGTTACATAATATATCACATTATTCATAGAAGAAACTTATTTAAACGACTAAAATAGATATTAGTTATGATTAACATAATTAGCTCATAAAAATCGGGGTGTTACAGCATATCAGCCATGTTTTGGCTGATTTGACCATTAAATGGCCTACCAAATGAATCGGCTACCTATGGTGTTTGGTAAATGAGGATTTCGTTCGGCGTTTTGTCTCCAACGGCCGAAATAAAAAATGCCACAATTGTTAGCGTTTTAGGATTGGCTGTTTCCTATTTATTCAAATTCTCCAAAATTACCCATGCCTCTTAAATGCAGTCATGCAGATACCTTTACCAGGCACCGCCCTATAAACTCCCGTACCTTCATCACACTTATCTACAATATTTTTTTCTGCACTGTTGTTTTTTACGCACATGGTGCGATTGGTGCCCAGCCCCAATGGCCTTTATGCAATAGCATGAGTAATTTATAGAAAATCACAATCCCAATTATCGAGTTTGATTTTTTTGAATTGCTGGAATTTTTTTTAAGATAGTTAATACAGAGTAAGACAAATGTGAATAGAATTGAATAAATGATTTAAGCAATTCTATGATTCCCTTGATTAGAAAAAATAATTATAATTTCATGTGATATGTGTAAACGTAGTAAGTATTCAAAAAATAAATTGATGTCTATAAAGGTCATTTAATTTGTTTTCAGCTAATTGTAAACAACTATTTAACCAAACACCGATTTATGAACCGCTGATATTACCTGCTAATCAAAACAGCCAACATAATCCGCTGTTATCTATCAGCCAACATTATCAGCCAACAGCCAACAACCAACGGCCATTTGCCAAACACCACCTTAATCTTTGTACATTAGATTGGAAGCCGAAGTGTATTCAAATATTAATATATTGAAAATGCACAAAACTTTGTGCAGTATGTAATACCAAGTATATTGGCGTGCATTAAAACTGTGCATTGAACTAAACGTTAAAGTGGATTGAGATTTAAGCATGCATTAGTGATGAATTTATTATGCACGAAAACACATTTGAAGTACATTATATAAACCTAATTATGTTTCTTTTATCCATATTTATTTAAATGTCCTCATAAAATCGCACACCATCATACAAGTTTCCTTGAATTTGATCTAAGCAAGTTAAAGATTTATTAATATGAACATATATCCAAAATATTGTTGTATAACAAAATGTGCATGATATAAAATAGTTTGTGCATTGTAATAAGCCGTCATGAATGAATAAATATTAAAAAATATACAAAACGAAGTGTACCAGAATCAATTAAAAATCATAAAACGAATTTCATGATAAAGTGTATAAATTAAATCCAAAATGAAATCTGATTCCTGAGTGTATAAATGAAATAAAAATGAATTCCAAATAAATTATTAGAGATGCATTCAAATTGGATCCCAATCTGAAGGCCCTGAGTGTAGCAAAGTGCATGTTAATGTTAAACCAAGTCCAGGAGCCCAATCTCTTAAAAAAAAAGTGCAGGAGCCCAACCCTAGTAAATGCTGTCAAATTGGATCGGCCCATCATAGTATCGAACTAGGTTTTTGAAAGGCCCTAATTTAAAACCCTTGTTACGATAGCTACTTCGCGGCAGAGAAAGGAGAAACCAGAAAGGAGAAACCAGAAAGGACGCAGAGACTTACTGCTTCAGCGATCGTGAAATGGCGATTTACAAAGTATGAATTTGATGTTACTTCCGCCTTTCTTCTTCTTCTTTTTGAATCCGTATTCATGCGCGTGCACAGGCTTACCTTATCAAGGAATCTAGTAATTTTTATGTTTTGTTTGTTTGCAGTTCCATCAATACCAGGTGGTCGGAAGAGGTCTCCCGTCGGAGACTGTTGAGCAGCCAAAGATCTACCGCATGAAGCTATGGGCCACTAATGAGGTCCGTGCGAAGTCCAAGTTCTGGTAATGCCATCCCTTTTCCTCGCATGGATATTTTATTGTTTGTTCTTTTAACTGGATTTGTCCAGGCGTCTTGTAATATCTTTTTCGTTCCAAAGGTATTTTTTGAGGAAGCTGAAGAAGGTGAAGAAATCCAATGGCCAGGTCCTTGCAATCAATGAGGTATTGACACCACTTTCATATTGGACATTTACCTACTGGTCGTATATCAAACGATTGATTGTGTTGCTGTTTTAATATCTTGCGCCTAGCATTGAGCAATAGCATCTTGTGGACCATCTCTGTTCATATAAATTTCTTTTAATTTGTCCTCATGGTTTTTCAACATTGTACTTCTAGTTATATCTGTACTCGGCTACTCTGTCGTGTGCATTGTTATTAGTAGTATTAGGATGTGTGCACTTTTCTAGAAAACCTAGGCTGATAGGCAATTATATTGCTGTTCCTCCGAGCACATATTTACCTTGTCGTTCAGCAGCTTTTGGATCTTACTCCATTTTTGTGTTAGGCCATTCTCTCTACCTTCTGCAGTAGCAGGCATGTATCGAAGGGGAAGAGGAGTCAGCGTAAAGTTACGTAGCCTAGGTTATTAAATCAATATTATTTACCCTATGAAATTCCTAGTAAACCAAAAAAACTAAGAAAATTGAATTGTTTTTTTTTGTTTTCACCACATACAATGCCGATGAAAATGGACTGAGGTTGCTCTTTAATTCATATTTGCGCATACATGCAATAGTTCATAAGTGACTGAATAATTATAGAAAGCAGTGATCAGTATGTTATTGACATAAAAGTCACAAACAAAAATGTAACACCTTAATGATTAGGGGTTATACTTCAGTGATTTAACTGTGCAGTGACTTTTGTGGTGCTAGTAGTTGCGATTACTTCATGACTATGATTTTAGTAATATTTTGGCAAATTCTCCACAAATACTTGTACCCCTTCCCAAAACACAGAAAACTAATACAAATGAGTATCAACTAATCTATGAAACAAATTCATTAATTTTGAATTTATTGCTTATTTTTCCCCTATGGTTTCCCCTTTCAATTTACTGCAATGTTTACTTTCGTAATTATTTTCCTTGGTATTTTCATTCACCGAATTCTGAAGATATCTTCCTCTTCATATACTGCTACCAATTTTCATAAATCATATTTTGTTCTTGGTAACATGATATTATGCAGCCATGTTGTTTGTTAATGAACTGTATTATGTTGCATATTTGTAGATCTTTGAGAAGAACCCCACCACTATCAAGAACTTTGGAATATGGTTGAGGTACCAAAGTAGAACCGGCTATCACAATATGTACAAGGAGTTCCGTGATACCACTTTGAACGGCGCAGTTGAACAGATGTACACTGAGATGGCTTCTCGCCACAGGGTCCGCCAACATTGCATTCAGATAATCAAGACCGCTACTATCCCAGCAAAGCTATGCAAAAGAGAGAGCACCAAACAATTCCATAACTCCAAGATCAAGTTCCCTTTGGTGTTGAGGAAGGTGAGGCCACCATCCAGGAAGCTCAAAACCACCTACAAGGCATCTCGACCCAATCTCTTCGTTTAAACCTTTTTGCCTTAATTTATTGTTGTCTTGTTGTTTTTCACATTTTGGATTTACACTTCGTTTCATTCAAAACATGGTTTGGTTAAAGAGGGGAATGATTTGTTTCTTTGATCAGTGATAGTTTTATTTTGCTTGCTACAAGTCATCGTTTAATTTATTATTTATGATAATCTAGTAGCCAGTTCTTCAAAATAGTAGTAGGGTGGTTTGGAGTTTAACCATACTTTATGATGCTTATTTCTGTTAAAAGTTAAAACCACCTACAAGGCATCTCCACCCAATCTCTTCGTTTAAACCTTTTTGCCTTAATTTATTGTTGTCTTGTTGTTTTTCACATTGTGGATTGACACTTCGTTTCGTTCAAAACATTGTTTGCCTTAATGTATTGGAGCAGGTTCTGGTCCATTAATTGTACTTTTTCTTCTGGTTTACCAAAATATGTACTTTCTCCGTTCTATAATTCTATTGGATTTTGCCAACTTTTTCTTTTTGGTTGTCAACTTTTCTTTTTTGGTTCTATTACATTTTTCTCTTGCATAAATCTCAATCAAACAATTTTTACTATTCTTAATTTTCATCTATTTTGCATTTGGCAAAGTCTAGCGGGAGTGCGGGACGGAGAGAATACATTTTTTCAACAAATTTTTACTTTTCCAACTTTTTTATTGGTTATTTGAAAAAAATGATCCATTCTTGAGCACAGAACTGGCTGTACTGTAATCTGCATTTGACGTTTTATTGCTTGGCGAGTTTGTTTTCTTTTTATTTTTTAAGGGCCTTTTATTATAATGATAAAATAAGAGTGCAAGTGTATTGAGTTTGATTTGTTTTCACAAGAATCACATAGATTCATCATTTATAGTACAAAATGAGAAATAGTTATGATAAACTTGCAGGTAGTCATGGACCCGGGCCGGGCCGGTTCCGGTTCCGGGCCGGGCCCGGCCGGGCTTTTTTTTTGGGAAGGAAGGCCCGGGACCGGCCCGGGTAGCCACCGGGTCCGGTCCGGGTCCGGGCCGGGCCGGGCCGGGCCTCCGGTTCGGTTATAATTTTTTTTTTTTTTTTTTTTTTGCTTTCCTAACCCCCCACTCACCCCCACACCCCCAAACCCCTCCTAACCATCAAGCCCAACTTGGCTAACCCCAAAAAAAGAAAAAAAAATTAAAAAAAAATTAATTCGGCCCGGGCCCGACCCGGCCGGGCCGGTTCGCCAAATTCAAGGCCCGAGCCCGGACCCGGACACCCCACCGGGCCTAGGCCCGACCCGGACCCGGACCCGAGAACCGGGCCGGTTCCGGGCTCGCACAATGGCGGGCCGGGCCGGTCCCGGGCCGGGCGGCCCGAACCGGGTCCATGCCTACTTGCAGGTCTCATTCTTTCTTTAGCTATTCTAAAACCTAGTAAAAGACAAGAATTGGTGCATCAAAATGAAGCTGAATATTTTAAAACAACTTTTCAACAAGATTGCTCAAAACACAATTTGGTTTTGAACGTTGATTAATTATACACGCTTTACTACAACTAGTCTTTTACCCGTGCGTTGCACGAGATAACAAAAACTATACAGTTATTAAAAAATATTGGAATGTGCTATTTAACTATTACTCTTGAATATTTTTTTCAAAAATCATACTCCCATTAACAAATTAACATAATGTTCTGTAGAAAGTGACTTAGTATCAAATTCTGAGTACATATTAATACTTCTTCATAATAGTTAAACATTAATGGTAATATTTCAATCTTTTTCTTCCATTCCATAGTGTTATCATCTCCATATTCTATGAGCTTAGCTATACCCTCATCCATGATTTGAGATAGTAGAAATAGAACTCACATGAGAACCAAATACACATCACCAGTCTTCAACATTCTCATTCTTGTATACACGCTAATAATGAAACAAAGATTGAATGATTTTTGTAAAGAAGTGCTGAAGTTTTTGTTTACTTTTACTTCTCATAACAATATAATAAAAATAACACACCCAACACGTAAACAAAAATAATATAAATGAACTATATGTCATGCTAGGCATTAGCAATAATAAACCATACAAAAGTTTTACTCTAAAGCTTAAGTTCACTTTTCTATTCAGGATGTCCAAAAATAAAGTTTCTACTTAATCTTTTTTTTAATATTTAGTAAGTTTTTATTGTTCATTTTATCTTTTACCCTCACACACCTTTATTGAACTAATGCGTATTCATTTACCCCTTTATAGTACCATTTGGGGTACTACATCTTAAAATAACTCAAGGACAAAAGCCACTTATTTTCTATCCTACCTAAAAACCCGTGAACTCATACCCGAAACTTAATTTCCCTTTGGAGGGGGAGTATTTTATTAGGAAATATAATTTGAGTCAAAAAATTAACACCAACCATCAAAAGCTTTTCCTTCAAGAGGAAAATTACTTCAACTTAAAAAACAAAAACATCAATCCATCCTACCTTTTTCCAGGTGTATGGAAAAATAAGTTCATCCAGAAATACAAAACAATCTTTACTCAAATAATTTTGTCTCCAAATTTTAACAAAAAAGTATTTACTCCAACAAAGTTGTCTCCATACTTTAACAAACTCATTCATTTTCTTGTTTAATGTTTGCCTTAATTTCTTGGAAGGTCCTGTGGGTGAAAACTCTCCCAACAAAGAAGGTTTCCAGTTTCACTATCATCAAGTTCGATAGTCAGCGGACTGTGTGTTTCTCCATTCGAAGACCTGACCTGTCAATCAAATTCAGTCAATTTATTATGAATTTAACCAATCTGTAAGTTAGTATTAAAATTAACTCCAACAAAACTGTAAATTTGGTTAGGTGTTTTACCTTCTCACGTTCCATTTCTCGCATTAGTACACTGAAATCACCATCAAACTGCCATGAATTTAGAATTGAACCTTACTCTCCCCATACATAACAATGTAAATATGCTATCTATAGCAACACACAATCTCATCTAAGTTCCAATGACGCCCATCCTAAGAAAAATTGTTAAACACATTACTTAAATAGGTCTCTATAAAACACATGGATCACTTTATAATTTTTTTATCAAATTATAACTAAAGTTTCTATAAAAATATAAGACTCATCTTTATCAAACATTCTGCTATGTGGAAGGGGAAAATATTTTATAACTAAAGTGATATTTAGTCCAAACATTGAATTTGAAATAATGAAGTCCAAATTGAAAAGCTAATTGGCGGTAGGAAGGGAATAGCGGCTACCTCTGAATTCACACAAATGCTCGATCGGTAGGGTCTACATTACATTTTCATATGATTAGAACTAAATTTCATTTTTCATTTCCAAACATCAGAATACCTGGAAAATAAAAATGAAATTTCTCATTTTCGCACAAATGTAAATGAATAGAATTGATGTAAGGATAAAACATTATGAAAGTGACCAATGTGAAATCAAGTTCTATTCTCTTTCATTTCTGTGTCAGAAAAACTTTGCCCAATAAGTTAAACAAATGAATTAGGCCACATATTGCATTTTATAGTCTTTCCGTAAATTAGTTCTATAATCATAGGAGAGAAATGAATATATGAAAAAATGCATTTTCTACTCTTACCAAACTATATTCTCTCTAAAGGAATGAATAGTAATCAAGACATTTAATAAAAGAAGCATAAAAAGAAGAAAGTATTACAAATGAATAATGATTACTTAAAAGATTCATTAAACTCCTCCTTTTTTGGGTAAAAGCAACCAAACTGAGAATGAGTATATTATGATACAATCACGGTAGTGTCAAGTTTAAGCTTCAAACTCCATCCCATAATAGAAAAAAATGCAGGCTGCACAAAATATGACCCTTGACCCCCTCCCTCCCAATTCATTAAATTCTTCATTATATCCTAGTCCTCAAAGATTTATCGTGTTTTACTGCTTTGAACCTAGTCTGTTTCTGTTCCATGAAGTGAAAAATTATCAAAATACTTAACAATGTTTCATTAAAATATCTGCATTTGAATGGATTGATTTTCAAACTGGCACCTCTTTTAACAGTTGCACACTTCCACCTTTTTTCCCAGGGAGATTAGGAAGTTAGGAGTAACACAGTAGACAGGAGTAACAAATATACTGCTATCCCCATAACAAAAGTAAAAAATGTGGACATGTAGTATCTATGAAATATAAACTAACTTCAAGACAAAAAAAATAAGGGTTCCTAACCTGCTGGCTGTTGCCATGTAGTATCAAGTGAAGGGTGGCTAAGAGCATCTATGAAATTAAATAAACCACTCCATAATCGATATGTTCCAACTCTCTAAAATATTAAAAATAATCTAATATAAATAGATGCTTTTTGTATAATAAAAAGTTTGATAGATGTCTCGATCTTAGAAACACTCATTATTTATTCATAAGTTTTAAGCCCTAAACCATATTTCACAAAGAATAAATATCAAAGTATTTCATTCAAGAAAATCAAAAGGAAATAAGTAGCTAACAATTGATAAAAATCTTCATTGCTGCATTTTAGCAAACACCTAGCCTTACGGGCGTTGTACTTTGATCAAAATCTAAAGTGCAATACATTGAGGAATAAATGAATAATAACTCACCTTTTTGCAAAACTGAAACTGCAATTTTTAGGCCTTATATACCTGATAATAACTCACCATATTGATAAGAGAGACATCAATAAGTGAAGAAAAAAACTATGATTCTATTCAGATTTGAAATACACAAATTGGCAGCAAGTTTGCAATTCTAGTTGCATTTTTAACCTCTTTCAAGCTTGGGTTTTGAATTATGCGCCCAACTTTTCACGCTCTCCCTTCAAATAAAAAGAATGAAATAAAAGACCAACAACCTTTACAGCAAACCAATCCAGCCAGCCCCTCACTTTTTAGCACATAACAATTGTTTTCTAACTAAGGATTCTAAGAGTTTAACAAAAACTTGATATGCATACCATAAAAGTGAAGATGAAATAATATAAAAAGCAGCTCAAAACATATATCTTTTAGCTGAAAATTCATATTTCCCAATGTTAATCAAAGTTTGAGATCCAATTCTAAAAGCTAACCTATTATAATATGAACATTAGCTCAAACTATTCTTTTTTAGCTTAAAACTCCGACTTTTCAAGATGTCTACTGAAATTTGAGATTTAGTCCTCCACAGGCAATGTGATAGAATATGAATCTCTAGTTCTACACAGTTAATATTTAGCAAGAAGTTGTGACTTTTCAAAATGTGACTAAAATTTTAATTTCATCCTAAAAAGTCAAAGTGATTATGAAAATTAGCTCAATACTAAAAACAATTTCACTTTTTACATTCTAGAATATGTCAGTTTACAGGTCGAGAGCAATGCGAATTGAACTAAATATGAAAATATAGATTTGAGATAGAATACTAACCAACAATTGTAAGATTCATTGATATGGCCAGGAGAAGCAAACCTCACCGAGGAAGCATTGGAAAAAAGGAGTGACGACATACCTCATCGCAACGAAGTGCCCTGGCATGGCTGGAATGGCGTTGGCGAGTATGGTGGAGTCGGTGGAGTACCTCACCACTCCTTGCAGCTTTTAAATGGACCACCAATCCTTGTAAATATTTTCCAATGATTTTTAATACAAAAAAGTGAATCTGAAACCGAAAAATTGAGGTTCAGCAACGGGTCCTCTTTCTCACATGGCATGTCTCTTCCCACCCAAAACCTTAATTTCCGATTTTAGTTCATGGGCAAAAACCGGCCAGCCCTGGTCAGGTCCCGGGACCGTGTCCACCTTATGATAAAGATTAAAGACATATAATTTATATATGCATTTTTGACATCACACACAATATCAGTAGGGTATAGCACACCTTTTAACATTTCTAGTATATATAATATGCATTCAAAATGTTTAGTCTAGTTCCATGTTAGCAGTGTCATGACGGACAATTCTCAATCCCTCCAATTTCATAACTTTCAAAAAACTGACTGTCATGATCTCAGATCATGATGTGCCAATTTACTGCCATTACTATGTTTAAATAAAACTGAAGTAAAGTGCATTATTCCACTGCCATTTCTATGTTTAATCATGGCCCAAAAAGAGTAGAAAACGTAAATGACAACATTAAACATTTATATCATTCTGTTTGTGTTAAAAATCTTGTCTAGTAAGACAACAAAAGATTTCAACAAAAAATTTATAAGTTTTTGCTCTTATTGTCATTAGTATAATGAAAGTTTAGCCCATTCATATGTATGAAAGGATGACAAATCTTACATAAGAGAGCAATAAGAAGTGCAATATTATCTTTTAATCATAGTGTTCTCAAGTCACTATCCAAAAAAAGAGTGAAATTACATTTAATTCACAATGTTCAACATGTTACATAATACCAAAAATGGATTTTATAAAGAGAAAGAACTTATCTTTTTAACAATACCTGTATGTGAACTATACTCAACTGTATAAACTCGTGTGTTCACTCCTTATATATATATATATATATACATATATATATATATATATATGTCATATTGTATGAAGAGAATTTATAAGTTTTTGCTCTTATTGTCATTAGTATAATGAAAGTTTAGCCCATTCATATGTATGAATGGATGACAAATTTTACATAAGAGAGGAAAAAGAAGTGCAATATTATCTTTTAATCACAGTGTTCTCAAGTCACTATCCAAAAAAAGAGTGAAATTACATTTAATTCACAATGTTCAACATGTTACATAATACCAAAAATGGATTTTATAAAGAGAAAGAACTTATCTTTTTAACAATACCTGTATGTGAACTATACTCAACTGTATAAACTCGTGTGTTCACTCCTTATATATACATATTTTTGTCATATACTCATTAAAGGATTAACTAAAAGATAAATATTTTCCCACTTCTTCCCATAGTAATATCACATTAGAAAAAGAACAAAATGATGGTTTACGAGTAGGAGTAAAAGGCAAACAAATATATCCAGAATTTAGCTGGAACATTTGATGCTTAAAACAAAGAAACCTCTATTGTATGATTTTTTCTTGGTCCACACAATAAATACAGCTTATATGAATGATTTCAAACATTTATAGCAATTTATACAAAAATACAAATCCCCAAGCCTAGAGTATGCACATTATGTAAAAGAGTATACTTCAGTTTCTCATTAACAGAACCTTGAGTGGAGCCATTATAGGGTGGAATGGCGCAAATAATTTTGCAGATGAAAAACTCGAAACTTAGGGCTTTTGCTAGAGATAGGTATATGTATGTATGTACTATGTATAATTATATATGTATATATAATGTGTGAAATTTCAGAGAGGTATACCTCGGTAGAACTTAATTTGAAAAATGGCACGTCGTACTAACGAAGAATAAGAAACGCTGTGGACCTGTGGTGGCTAGCATGTAGAATGAAGAACTCTGTTTGAACCGCGTAGGAGGATTAGGCTTCGATTCCTTTGAGATAGGCAGGAACTTCTTTAAGTAGAATGAATCTGAATTCGTTGGAAGATAAATGAGTTATAATCTAGACTCCAATTCATTGAGAAGTCTGGAGGTGAGTGATTCTGCGAGTTCAATTCGAGAGCCCTAATTTCCAAACTACGAAGAATAAGCGAGTCTTATTCTAAATTCGGAAGAGTAGAAACCGTAGCTATATTTACACAAATTTAGTGAGAAATCTGGTGTTCAAGGACTCTGGTAGTTGAAATCGATAGCTGCCCTAATTTCCAAATGCGAAAGAAGACGCTAGTGTATACGGAAGAATAGAAAGTGTATTTGTATTTACGCAAATGTCCCTGGTCATGAGCGGGAAACTCACTTAAGTGGATTAATATATACTACCTCCGTTCTCTTTTAGTTGCAACGTTGGACTTTTTGCACTATTCACATATTCTACTTTGACTACATTTTATTAATTGATGTATTATAAATAAAATTTTTAAAAAATATTGTTAAATTCTTCTCATTCTAAATTTTCAAAATATGAATTTTTTAAATTTTTTACTAATACGGAATGAAAGATATTAATGGTCAAACTTGTGCGTTGGCAAACGTGAAATGTTGACTGTTGCAATTAAAAAGGAACGGAGGAAGTATATAGATATAGATTGGAGATTGAAAATTTGAAATTATCTTATTTGATCTTAAATTTCCCCATGCATACTCTGTTGTTTAAGTGTTCGTGTTTATTAAGTGCTTCGATGGACTGATGGAGACCCAGTCCCCAGTAAATCCTATCTATTTCATCGTCTATGAACGATATCATGATTTTTTTTTGGAACAATATCATGATTTTTATGAAGCTCGGGTCTTTAAAGTATGATGAAGTATAATGATAATAATAATAATAATGAGATAAAAGACATTTAAATTTAATTAAAAGTATAAACACATGCATCTAATTGAAATAACAAATAATTAAGAAAACCACTCCAATTATTATAAATGGAAAGTATTTATGGGTGGTACCTCTTTTCTCCACTCAATTTTTTTCTGTTTTTCCAACTCAACGTGAGAATCTTTGCCAGATGTACGTAGAACCTATCCTTTAAATTGGTATTTGGTAATGAGCGACAATTATAGGAGAATGTCAACATGTTACATAAAGAGCATGTTGATGAGGTGCATCCATCACATTCGTTCGTCAAATATAAATACAGTTTATTTATGATTTTGATATCGATGTATTTGATGCATCCGCATCATCAACTTCCTCCTTACCGAGAATGTTAACATGCTCGGGAGATTGACTCTTACAATGAGGTGCTCGAATCTCATTCCGTAACATAATTAGTTATATCCATGGAGTATTTATAATTTTGAATCACTTATGGGAGTATCTTCACACTTAATATACGGTACTCTATACATTTTAGCTAGAATCATTTCATTAAAATGCCAACTGTATTGGAAAAGCACGAGCTACATATGTAAAAAATAAGATGAGTTGCACACCTTAAGGGCACGATTAGGCAGGATTTTGGCAGGAAGGGAAGGATAATAGAGGATCAATGTTTGTTTGGTTGGAAGAAATAGGGAGGAAGGGGAGGAAACTGGAAAACTTAGAAAAACCAACTATCCCCCATATTGAGTCCTCCGAATTGGGTATTTCAGGAGATATCAAAGGCCCAAAATGATTTTTAAACGTAAATGGACAAAAAAGACCCTGTATTTGTAACTCTCAAAAGTAGGGGTGGGCAAACGGGTCCTGGAACCGCGGTCCGGTCCGGGTAATGGCGGTTCGGGTCCAAAACGGGCCGGTTCCATTTTTTGTTGCCATAAAACGGTCCGGGTAGGGCCGGGTAATCTTTTTTAAGGAACCGGACCGGTTTCAAAATTAAAAAATAACGGGTACCCGGCCCGGCCCGTTATATATATTGTATATTAATTTATTAATAGTTTTGTGATAATCGATTTTGAAATAGTTTTGTTTCCTTGGTAGAAGTAGGATTTTAAATTGAGTTGCAGTAATATCCTTTTGTTTTCAAATTATTGATTAAATGTTTCATAAATATCTTATTACTTTTTATTGTTATTGAAATATTCCTTTCTATGGAATTTAGTTATTTGTTAAAAATGATTTTGTTATATATTTTTTATTTTATTTTTCTTAAAATATATAAATTGTGTTTACCACCCACCATGTATGTGTCAACTTTGGTTAATACTGAAAATTTAATATAAAAAAAAGCAATCACTTTAATATGTGATGTTAGACAACATGTTTAAATAAAAATGTTAGAAAATATGTATTTTGGCTATGTTGCATATTTTTGGAATTTCTTTAATTGTTTGAAACTTATATACATGAAATTATGTAGTATTGGACTTGTCGCTTGTGTTACATGTGCACCACTATGTTGTTATTTTGAAACTTGCTAATGTCCTATATTATTAATTATTGATTTTTGGAACTTCGTGAGTTTTTACTAATTTCAAGACATGAGAATAGAAACCGTAAAACCCGGACCGGACCGACCCGTTTCAAACGGGCCGGATAATTTCCGGTTCCTATTTTGAAAATTGTAATATCCGGACCAGACCGAACCGTACAATGGAACCCACGATTCCATTTTATTTTGCATTACCCGCCCCTACCCTACTCAAAAGACGGCCAAATTCCTTCGACATTCCTTTGTGTCATTCAAGAGTAGCCGCAAATCGCAATCCTCTCTAAAAAATGGATCAAACTGATCAACTCGCAGCATAATCCACAATCGTTGTGAAGAAAGGTGATTTCACTCATATGTGAGTTCGTCGCTTTATCGTTTTATGTTTCAGATTCATTGCATATCAATGTTTGTGTGATTCAACAATGTTAATCTCGATTTCAGAAGTTGTCTGTTCATGCGCAAATTGTCCGAACTGTTCATTCGCAATTTTTCCGCCGGCACTACCAGGATTGTTTGACTTTGAGTGCTGAATTGTGCCATTTCTGAGATTTGTCAATGGATTTTGATTTCCTAATCTCACTTTTCATATGATTTATATTCAGATTATGAGTACACATGTTGATATTATGTAAAAATTGCAGTTAGTTCCATTATATTTGAAATCAAACGTCAAATGATAAAATTTCAGTGTATACATATTACACTTCGTATGATTCTGAGAAAGCTTGGTTTTGGTTTAGGATGATGGGATTTGATGTCTCCTTAGATAGTTAAATCTTTATGCTAATTATTAATATAACTCCAAATAATCTAATTCCTACATTGGCTATGATACCCAGGTTTGATGTCTTTTAATTGAATTTTTTGAAATCTTAGAAAGTGAGAATGAAACCATTGAGTTATTTGTGTTCTCTCCTAGAAGGAAGAATATGGGACTTCATAAAAAGAAACTTGTGATTATATTTTTGTCCCATCATTGTTAAGTGTTAACCCTTTCAGAAAATGGGGCAAAAAATAGGACAAATGGAAAGAATGTCATTATTTGGGACGATGAGATTATATTAGTAAGGCAAACCTCTTTCTTGGGATCTTTATAGCTAGGTCCAATGGTAGAATTGTAGTGCACCTGATAGGGGATCGTTTCAGTAGATTTGTCTAGCCTAGCCTAGTGTAAGATAGGTACGTCGAGTATACATATTGATTATCGATTGAACTTGAGTTTGGTAATTGATATATAAGTGTGAGGTCAATAGTATGTCTCATCTATTGATAATCCTTTGAAGTAAAATTGCCCTAACTTAACAAGGTATTAGTGGAGCTTGGTGCGATGATAGGTTTGTCGGGTGCTTGCCGACTCGGTTTTTTGGGCAGCCTGTTCGGATCTGTTTCAGCCTATCTGTCCAGCCTTCTAGGTGTCCAGCTCGGCCTGGGCTGACTGAGGCATGTTGATTATTCTACATTTCTACATCTGTTGTGCACTAGTGTTTAAGTCTAGTATTTATGTCTGAGGTAAACCCAACTTCTTGAAAATATTTTTGGATGAGTTTGGATTATTTCTGATTTGGTAAAAGGTGAAGAGTACGCAAGCAGGGCCACTTTAACACGCCACATGCGTTTTCTTGAGCCAGCAGGCACACTGTGCTCTTTTGTTTGAAATCTTATGATGCTCAAGTCAGGGTAAGGGTGTACTAAGGTTTGAGTCTAGTATTTATTTCTGAGGTAAATCTGACTGCTTGAAAATATTTTTGGATGAGTTTGAACTATTTCTGATCATGCATGTTCAAAATAAAATAAGTTAAGCGAAAAGTAAAAGGTGAAGAGTACACGAGCAGGGCCAATTTAACATGCCACATGCATTTTCTTGAGCCAGCAGGCACACTGTGCCCTTTTGTTTAAAACCTTATGATGCTAATGTCAAGGTAAGGGTGTGTTGTGTCTCACCATGGACACATAGCTGCTTGTACGCTTCTATGTACAATAATGGCAGGGTGCAAAGTAGGGATGATCCCTCATTGAATGTGGGATGATCCTTGAGTACGTGTGGACAAGGCTTAGTTTCAGACTGGGACCTTCCGTGTTTTTTTGCCCAAAATTTAATTGAAATTTTGGTCCTGGAACTGATGTAGGATTGGTCTGGTTCAGTTTAATACAAAGTATGATATTAAGTCAGAACCGGTTGATTCATGTTGCATTTCTTTAGTTAAAGTTCAAATTTTTGAGTTTCGGACTGCCTAAATCAGTCCATGAATTGTTCCTTGAAGTCATGGGTCAACTAGAACCACTTAACTCGGTTGTCGTTGAGGTTCTTCAATCTTCCAATCTAGGATATGCATTGGTCCCTTTTCACCTTAAGATGTACGGATTAACATTTAGCTTGAGGAGCCAAAAGTTGTGTATTTGAAGCCAATTATTTTCTATAATGAAATTAAAGCTGTACGCTATGGAGAATTTTCAAACTCATCATAGCCCACTTGCAACTTTTAAAAGTACATTTAACGCCATGCAACCATTTTTTTTTGTTTTGTAAAAAGCTCACTGTAATATACTCCCTCCGTCCCAAAAACAACTTCCCACTTTCCTTAAATGAATGTCCTAAATTAACTTCGCACTTCAATACTTTCCTTATTTGGCAAATTATCTACATCAAAATAGTGCCTAACAGTGTTCAAACAGTGTCAAACAATGTTTGAATAGTGCAAAACAGTGCACCCAACAGTAAAGTCAAATTTATTTTCTTAATATGTGTGATTGTCAAACTGTGAAGTTGTTTTTGGGACGGAGGGAGTAGATTATAAATTGTTCCTAACATGCTTCTAAAAAATTAAAAATCAAAATCAAACAGCCACGTCACAATTTTTATTTACTTCTTCCATTTCATAGAAAGTTCTAAGTTATTTTTCTTTTATAGGAGTACATACCATGGAAATTAAAACTTAGCTATAGTACTCAAGTTTTACTCTTAATTGATTTTATAAAAACTTAGAAATGAGAATGAAACCATTGAGTCAATTATGTTCTCTCGTATTATCTTTATATTTTAACTAACTGCTTTGGATATTATTGTGTATATTTATGGTATAGAATTATAGATGGGTCCCAAAACACCCGTAGGATGGTGTAACATGGTGCAAAATGTTAAATTTGTTTGCAGATGAGGTTTGTGAAGTTTGTTTGCATATCAATATGTTAAATTTGGTTCATTCAATTTGGGTTGGTGTAGGTGAAGCCTCAAGCTAAGATGTTCATGCAAGCTCCTATACCTTACTATGATAAAATGGTGTTTCTCTATGGAAAAGATAGAGCTACTGGAGATCAATCAATAACTTCTTCAGAGCTTCGAAAGTGTCATAGTTCAATTGGTACAGATGACTACAATGACTCTACCACTGATTCACATGTGCGCGTTGATGATGATGTTGAGATAACGTCAAATTCAAAAAGTAAATCCACCGAAAAATCCAAGAAATCAATTGCAAAAGAGAAAGACATTTTTGGTGAAGGAATTAAGGAAGCAGTTGACAAAGTGGTGATGCGATCAAAACTTCTGGTGAGCTTCTTAGCAAGAAAGCTCCAATATCTCCAAGCCAGACACATGAATTATTGATGGAATTGGGATTTCAACCGTCACTGATCCACATGTATTACAACAAAAACTTGTGATGAATATGGATTTGCTTAATGCGGTGCTTGGTTGTCCAATGGAGTTTCACAAGGATTTCATTCGAGGGACGTTTGGTTGTATGGAGCTGTCTTAGTTCACCAAAGTTGTCTACTTCATTGCTTACTATCTAATGCTTTGTAATTCACATTTGTGATGTGAAGTCTATTTATGATTTATGCTATTGAACTAGAGATATGATGTTTAATATGTTATGGAAATATATTTTGACTAGTATGCTATATATTTAGTTTGAACCTTATAATGACATGCATTATGATTATACTTGGGTTGCATTACTTATTTTATTTATTGTGTGAACAGTTTTAGTTTTGAAATCTTAATTTTGTAGGTAAGAGCTTGTTTGAGGGCTAAGTAGTTCATTTTTTTCTTTTGATTTTCAAATATTAGTTGTTTCTAAAAAAATAAATCATATTCGAAATTTTTTAAAGCTTTTTAGAGACTTGTATTTTTTAATGGACCATTTTTTATAGTTTATCATGATATTAAATAGTTTTTGTTGTCGTAGACAATTTTTCATTTTTTTATTACTCATGTTTAAAACTATTCAGGCATTTTAATATCTATGTAAAGGCCATTTAGTGTTAAAATATAATACTAATGAAATTTATATTTTAAAGTAATCGATCTCTTATATACCACTAATTATATGATTGAAATTGGAGTTATTTCATGATTTTAATAATATTGCATCTTCTACATATATAATCGATAGTTTGAAATTATTTAACAATTGGTTTGTGTCAATGTTCTAAAAGGTGCTAGGCGCTAGTCGGGCGCCAGCCCAGCGCCTAGGCGGCTAGACAGACGCCTAGGCGGGGACTAGTCGGAGACATATAAATTACATTTTATCTATATTTTTGCATAAATATGTTAAGTAATATTGTATTTTTGTGTGTATAAAATGCATATATACATATACATTAACAAACATGAATGATAAAATTATCACATTTAATCATACGTAGTATATGATAACTAATCACTTAACTTCATTATGTTATAAATATAAATAATGATGAAATTTAGGCATATATAGAAACACATATAGTTTTATCTTAATATACAACTTCATTTCTTTGTATCCATGACTAAAACTAAAGTACGCATATCGCTTAAAAAATTAAAATTAAAAAGTAAAGTAATGTTTGACAAATCTACACGGCATAGGCGGCTGATTAGGCGCTCTAGGCGGGCAACTAGGCGCTATAGGCGGCTGACTAATTCACCTAGACGGCAAACCAATTAATTGGAGCGCCTAGACAAAAATCGGGGCGCCCGGCCACCGCCTAGCACATAGACGGGGACAAGTCGGACGCCTAGAACGATTTTTAGAATAGAGGTTTGTGTCAATTAGATCTAACATATATACGTATAAATCAAAATAATACTAGATTTTCTATAATGCTGAAAATATAATTAGTCATAGGATTGTCAATGATAATGTACTTATCAAACAAGGGTATATTAGAAAATTTATTTTATTAAATCTTCCTTTTCTTTTCAACCAACCACAAATGGTTGTTCTTCATTCTCCTTCCTTCCCCTTCCCTCCTTTACTCTCCCCTTCCCTCCCCTCCTTTGAACCAAACAGGGGCTAAGTTATTACTACGTACCCCCTCTGTATTTAAAAGTTCACTACAGTAGCTTTGAGCATATTATTTAATGATAGAATAGTAGGAGTAATGAATAGTGTAGAAAAAGTAGGAGAGAGTGTGTAAAAGTATGAAAAATATAATAAAAAGTAAAAAAAGCAAAGATAATTGAGTATTTTAAGGGAAAAACTTACTAAAAGGGGAAATATAGCAAACTTTTAAATACATCCCAAAAAGAAAAGTATGACAAACTTTTAAATACGGAGGGAGTATTATGTAATTTTATTATTTTTGTGGTTCTTTAATAGATTCTACTTGTGAGTGCAATAAAATGAAATAGATCAAACTTTAGTAAAGATGTGCAAATAATTAAAAATCACAAAGTTTACTAGTACGTGATATTATAAAGAAATTGTGGAACACAACCAACGTGTGAGTGTGCACTGCAAGAAGCTAAGCTGTCGGAAACGTTATTGAAGGTGCGGCACGGAATAAATCCTACTTTTGGTCCTACGAGTTTGCTGTTAGTTCCACATTTAATCCACGTTTTTCACTTTGTCCACTTTTAGTACTTGACTAATGTTTTTTGACCATTTGTGGTCTTTTTCGGGTGATTTTAATCTCCGGAAACGGACCATATATAGGCGAAAACACAATACTCATGTATCAAAAGTTGACAAAGTGAAAGACGTTGACTAAATGTGGAATTGACATCAAACTCGTAGTACCAAAAGTGGAATTTATTCGTGCAGCATGGCAGCAGGGACTAATAACAAACCTCTCCTCCCGTGGTACATGTAAATATGTAAGACACCACTTCTTATTAATTAAAATAAAATACATTCTACTCTCCTTCCCAAAAAAATTGCTAAATTAACTTTTCTTAATCAATGATACTCAAGCTTGGCTGTTTTTTTAAATTCGGAATTATTGTAAGTATAAAAATAGTTATATTAAAATAATCTTTATTAAAAATAATTTTATTAAAGTATAAAATTTATGAATTACATGCAAATATAACAATTAAAATCATTGTCCAAATTTTGTCATCATTATTAAGAAAAGTCAATATGACAAACCTCTTTGAAACGAACTCAACAAAGGTGGTATAATGTAATGGTTTAACTTAATTGTAAGTACTTAGTTTGAGAATCGCTCTCGCGTACTTAGAAATTTCAATTTATTCCCTAAATTGAAGTAATTTCTACCAAATTTGGGGAACAATTGTCATGTTTAAAATCTGATAATGTCAAATTTGACAGAAATTACCCCTATTTAGAGAAATAATAAACATGACAGTCATATTTTTGGAATTTCAAAACGTTTATACTTCTATTTAGGGAATTTTCCCATCTTTATACTCGAAATTGCTTTAGCATCAAATAAATACAAAGTTGCAAACTAAAGTTAACTGCAAGATACAAATATATTAAACCCTGGCCTTTTAATTCTTATGGGTGTCATGATAAACTAGTATGGTTATGGAACTTATGGGTGTCATGATAAACTAGTAAAAGTATACCATTATTTACAACTCAAAAGTCAAAATATTATGAAAATGATTTAATTTGGCTTTGCAGGACCGCAAGAAAATGCAAATCCCGAATTCAATTGAGGAGGCAGGACCCTTGAAGTTAACGGCTTTTTAAGGACAACTACTCGACTAGTTCTTGAAAGAATTCAACGTGTCTTTTTCTCAGAAATGGGTTTATATACATCATTACAAGAGATCAATAAGCTAACTAAATATATGCAATTAATGGAATAACTACAAACTAGGTAACTAAATATATACATAATAAATAGAATATATTGAGCATATATTCTAACGTATTCTAACACTCCTGCGCAGTCTTAGCGGGAGCTTCGCGGACGTTAAGGCGTGCACAGAAATCGTCAAATAAAACACGGGGAATCCCTTTCGTAAAAATGTCTGCAATTTGATAGCGTGAGGGAACATGTAGAACTCGTACTTCACCTTTAACAACTTTTTCACGAACAAAATGAATGTCCATTTCGATATGTTTGGTCTGCTGGTGCTGCACCGGATTTCGGGACAAGTAAATGGCACTTCACAATACACAAGTGTGGCTCCAGTAATAAGTTTCTGATCCAGCATGTCTCAGAGACAACATTGACAACTCCACGATATTCTGCTTCTCCATTAGAACGGGATAAAGTTGGCTGGCGCTTGGAGGACCATGAAATTAGATTGTCCCCAAGAAAGACACAATACCCTGAAGTGGACCTTCTAGTATCTGGACAGCCTCCCAATCAGCATCAGTATACGAGATAAGCTTATCAATGGAAGATTTATTTAAGAATAAACCATGAGACATGGTACCTTGCAAATAACGAATGATACGCTTAAGAGCACTCATATGCTCAGTGTGTGGATCATGCATGTGAAGACAAACTTGTTGGACCGCATAAGAGATGTCTGGTCTAGTGAAAGTAAGATATTGCAAGGCACCTACAAAATTGCGATATTGAGTAGGATTTTCAAACGGAGTACCTGGAGATGCACTCAGTTTAGGCTTAGTGTCAATGGGTGTGGGACATGAGATGCAATTAGTCATGCCGGTCCGATCAATAATATCCGCAGTATATTGTTTCTGAGATAAAAAAATAGACCATGATGATCACGAGTAACAGCAAAGCCAAGAAAGAGAGAAGTCAGAGCAATAAGTAAGAGAGAGAGTCAGATATATTAAATGAACTCGAGAAGTTGGGATCATTTACAAGGGGAAAGGGGTTGCTATTTATAACAGCCATAAATGCTAAGCGAGTACACGTGTCAATCATCTAACGGCCGAGGGTCACCTCCATCGGGGTGGCACCGGCATTTGCATGTGCACCACATTAAATGCGGTGGTTGGATGTGACGCCGCATTGAATGCGGTGGTTGCATGTCTTCAGAGGAAGCTTCGTAGCGCGTAGACCCTTCGTACTGGATTATATGGCCGAAGGCTTCATGTATGGCCGAAAGCTCCCCGGCCGAGGGCTACTGCTTTTCGATCGTTTTCTCTCAGTAGCTTCACATGCCCAAATCTAGCTGTCTCCGGGTGTTTGGAGCGCTCGACCATAGGGCCGAAGTCATCTTCTTCTGCACCATGGCCTTCTCAACGCTTGGGCCGTTATGTTTGGGTTTTATGTGCTCATTGGGCTTGATGGGCCTGTGTAGGAGAAGTAGGAGTCTATGGGCCGAGGGTCCCTGGGCCGAGGGTCCCTGGGCCATATGAAATTTAAATAAAAGTACATGAATTCCCTTACCATAAAATATCACACAGTGCACACTTGATATATTGTATTGGGTAATTTGGGATATTGGTGAATGTGTTTTCCTAATAATTGTACTTGAAGTTGGAGCTAATTACAGAAAAACCTTAAATAAAAGCACCTCCTTGTTGCTTTGAGCTTTTGGATCAAGAATGACGGAAATTATGCAAAACTTGGTGTTTACAAACATAACTTTTTCAATGGAGAGCCCGTTTGGTGACACTGTTTTTCGGTTGATCATGCTTATTAGCCAACTTTTTAATCAAACACATAACTTTTGATTCTGCGCGTTGAATTGTGTAAGGTTGAAGTTACTTTTGTGTCTGTATTGGCTGAAGTTACTGTAGATGATTATTTTTGCTATTTCTTCATATAATTTATTCTTTGTTTTATTCGAGAACAATCTTTCTGTATATCAACATAATCAGCCAATACACTCATTTCAGCCAGAACTTCATAAATTTCAGCAGAATCAGCCGATACAGTCATTTCAGCCAGAACTTCATAAATTTCAGCAGAATAAGCCGATTCAGGCAATTTTAGTGCTACCAAACAGACTCTGAAAAAGCTGAAAAGCACTTCTAAAAACAATACTCCGTAACAATTTTAGAAAATAACAAACATAGCCTTATAAGGCAAATTGTACATTTGTACGTTACCTCCAATTCTACGGTAGTACGGTACAATACTTTGATTATGCAGACCAATTAGATAGTGCAAATGAACAATTTAAATATTATTACTACTAATTAATCAAATGTACTATAGGAATTGACAAATCTTTTTGGAACATCCAAAAAAGTAAATCTGACCAACCCTTTCCAGAGGGAGGGAGTATAATGAAACATAAAGGGTAATTAAACGAGGATGCGAGTCATGGGAGCACACCAAGTCGCCAAATAGACAGCTAACCATGATATGAAACCAGCTAGTACATACGAGTACATATAAAGCCATCTCCAATGTGACTTGGATCTTCATATCATATCTTTTCCGGAAATATTTTCTCTTACGTTGTGGTAGGTATTAATTTATGCGGGCCAAACAGACCTTAATTTTAGCATGCACAAACATACAAAAAGAAACATGTGCCCAACCACGTGTTTGATAATTGTGTATCGTCAGTGTCTTAGAGCCTGTTTGGAGAACTCTGTTTTCGGCTTATCAGGCTTATCAGCCAGCTTTTTCACCAAACACGTAACTTTTACTTTCGCGCGCTGAATTGTGTAATAAGCCGAAAAAGTAAGGTTGGAGTTACTTTTCTGGCTGTATTGGCTGAAGTTACTGTAGAGGACCATTTTAGCTATTTTTACATATAATTTTTTCTTTAATTTATTAATAAAATATATTTTTAAAATATTTTTTTCTTAAATCAGCAGAATTAGCCAAAACAGCCACTCCAGCCAGAATATCATAAATTTCAGCAGAATCAGCCAAAACAGCCTATTTTGGTGCTACCAAACGGGCTCTTAATTTGTTGGGTTATATTCGAAGAACTGTTCACACCATTACTACACATCGTGCTCCGATCCAATGTTACGTACGTACACACCAACAAATTGAAATGCCACTCCTCTGATCCATCGCTATTTAAGTCCATTGAGTTGCATACCCACAAATACATACGGTCCTACGCGATCCAGCTCAGCAGGTCGCTGATTCTGCGACTCACTCTCCCTTATGGGAGGTCTCTGGTTTGAAATTTAATGGAGTGAGTTTCAGCCCCAGTTTACTCCAGATCCCAAGACCCCTCCCTCAGACGCCCCCTGAAGTAAAAAAAAAAAACTTATGATCGTACAGGGTACGTATAAGACTCAACTATGGGTGGATGCGTTTCGGGTCGGTTCCAATTTTGACCAAGCTAGTTAGACATTGTTTGTTTCAAATTTCAAGCAATTACAAATATCAAAACATTTAATTATTGAAAGACGCTATGGTACCCTTAAAGTAGTAACATACATGTGTTCATATGATCCAATTAAAATGTTGTAGTTGAAATATTTAAATATAAATTAAAAATGATATAATGATTTGGACCATCCAATCAAGTGAATGATAGATATAATACTCCAATATATTTTTTAAATGGTACTCGAGTTATCACTGCACCTTATTTATTACAATTATACAATAGTAGGCAACTAAATATAAAGCCTCGTTGAACATAACATAAACTAAGTCATATTACTAATTTACTATTATATGATATGTTATTTGTGAAATGTTTGACCAATAAATTATATCGAGTAAATTCCTTAAATGGGACTAAAATAAAAGATAATTGCTCAAATAGGACTTCATTTGAAACTATGTTTCATAGGACTTAAAATCACCTACTTGTACAAAAATGCCCTTAATGAAATTTTATTTCAATTTATAATTTAAAAATAAAATAAAACTTAAAGAAACCCTAAAACTTTCATCGTAGCAGTGGGATTGCAGCTGCTGTTGCACCATGCCCCCTGCCGCTGCCATCACTGGTGGAGCCCGCCGCCACCTTCACCGCCGGTGCCTGCCGCCGCCGCATCACAACTTTGGTGCCATTCATCCGCCATTAGGTTGGCAGATTTAGCTTTGAAGAGTATTTGGAATCTGCCATCAACAATGTTTTTCATATCTGCCATAAAGTTGGCAGATTTATCTTGGAAGTTTAACAAAAAATGTCATAAATTTGGCAAAAATATGAATTCAATAACCAAATATACAATAAAATAAAATAAAATGAAATAAGCATTTTAACACAAACAAAAATTAAAAATAAAAAGTATTAACAAAACATTTGAGAAATCAATTTACACAAACACATTTCTGCCATAATACGATTGTCAACGTTCATATTTATGCCATAAACTTGGCAGAATCGGAAACCATCACCCAAACTTTTGGAAAATCGGAATTTAAAAAAACTAAGAGATCAGAAATAAAAATTCAGAAAATCGGAATTCCTAAACATTGACAAAATCAATGTCAAATTCCAAAAAAACATAAGAATATGAAGAAGATAAGAAGAATCAATGTTTAATCTCATTAAAATAGAGGGATAGAAGGCATAGAAGGAGGAAGAAGAGAGGGAGGAGTAGATCGGGGAAAGAACAAGAAGAAGGAAGAAGAAGAAGAGGAGAAGAAGAAGAGGAGAAGAAGAAGAGAAGAAGAGGAAACCTGCGATGGGCGTGGTGAAGTTGGTCGTGACGACGGGTGGCGTGAGGCGGCAAAATTAGTGGCGGCGGTGACTGCGATTCACGGAGAGAAGTTGGAGAAGGAGATGTCGATCTATTTTTGACGTAGGGAGAAAACCATCGATCTTGCAAGGAGAGGGGAATAAGATGGAAAAGTAACGATTTTAGGGATTAAAATTGAAAGAAGGGTATTAATGGTATGGAATTTTATCATGTTTCTACATAGGACCAATATAGTCCTATTTAAGAAATAAAAAACTTAAGATCCTATTAGTGAATTTTCATTATGTTTTAGTCCTATTTAGGACAACTGCTATAAATTATACTCCATAGTGTAAGTTTATCCCTTCTGAAAAATTTCAGAATACGCCACTATCGCATACATAATTATTATTGAATCAACTATCATACTAATAGGGGATCGATATGCTAGGGGATCGATATGCTAGGTCCCCGACTACCCAAATTTCAAAAAAAAGTTTTATTATGAGTTGTAGTTTGGATGGATCGGGACCTAGATTAAACCCTAGCTCCGCCGCGTGTGTTGTTTGATTATTTAGACCTTTACTTAATAATTCATAAAATCGTTCAGCATATATAGCTAGCTCTCTATCTATCATAATCTATACGTAGTACTACGCATTATATATTTATGGCACCATGATCTCTCGTACAAATATTTCGAAGTGTTTTTTCCAAGTGTTGGGATAATGGACTTTTTTCCTACCCACACCTAGTTCGGTACCGTAGCTCCGTTAGGAAAATGATCAAGTCAAAGATAGATAGATAGATGGATGGATGGATGGATGGATGGATAGATGGATGGACGGATGGACGGACGGACGGACGGACAGACAGACAGATAGATACTTCGTAATTAATCGGAGTTTCTTTGTTTTGTTTTGTTTTGTTTTGATTTCTTTTAATTTAACTGTCTGTGTCCGTCTCATAAAAGTTCTCAATATTTTGATTGTTTTTTCGTGAATTGAATGACTTAAGCTTTGGATAATAATTTTAATTATTACACATTTGAACGCAAAATGTATACGACTTATATTTTCATTAGAGTATAAACAAAAATTTAAAAATACTCATATGTTTTTCATATTTTAAATAATTTTTCATTCGAAAATGTATTTAATTTGGTCAAAATTCATGATCTTCATTCACGAATGAAAGTCAATATAGCAAAGTTTGGTCAGTTAAATGGATTGACTACATTGTTAAACATGTTTGCATAAGTGCATGGCACTCAGGGCAGTTTCATGCACGCTTGTAAATTCGATATCAAAAATGCTCTTTGTACCCATTATAATACCCACCATATACCAACTATATATACTCCCCAAAATAATTACCCCCTCATCCCTTTTACCCCTTCCCCCATCTCTCCTCTTCCCCATCAGTGTAACCAAGTGCACCTTCACGCCATTTTCTCCCCCTTTTCCCTCCCCCATTTTCTCCCCCTTTATATCATTCCTGATATAACCACTGTTATTGTCAGTAGTGCAGTTGGTAACACTGATACCATTGGTGCACTTGGTTACACTGATGCCACTGATGCCTTTCCAGATGCTGTTATGGTTGCTTTTGACCCGATTCTTAAAATAGCTTCACCTGTTGATGCTTCTGTCAGTTCTGATGTTTCTATTACTACACCTTTGGCTAATTTTTAGTAATAATAGTGGTGTTTATTTATTTGTTGTTATTAGGTTAATGGAGGATGTAACATGTTTGAATGGATTGATGCTGAAATGTGTCCAAGATCGAAGGTGATTATACCAGGTCTGTTGAGGAAGATCAACAAACTGCAGCTTCTACTTGAAGAGAAAAATGCAATGCCCCAAAAGAAGAAGATATGGACTGTGTTATGCTGTCTTGTAGGAGGACTGATGATGCTAGCATTATGCGTTTTTTATTTTGACGTTGAAAAGAAAAATAAGTTAGATTGGGAGTATTGTGAGGTTTCAATTCGGAAATCCCTTACTGTAACTTTGGGTATTTCCTAATTTGTTTGTGTATGTAGTAGTAATGTGTAGTTGAATGACCATTGTTGTAACCGTAAGACATGCCATATGCATGTGTGTTGTTTATGGAGAAATTGTATGTTGATTATCATCATTAAAACTATTTAAAAAATCCCAGATATGATTAAGCAAGCAGTTAGCAATGGATGAAAAAATCAGGTCACAAATTATAGTTAAAATTGACAAAATGGAATTGCTTAACAAGTTGCAGGTCATCTGGGCAAGAATTTGATTAACCACCTGGTACATAAAATGCTTTGGAAATCTCAAATGCTTTGCCTGTAAAGCTAAGCTAGATCTTTTTTTCATTTGTAATAATAAAACAACAAGTTTAGAAAACAAGCAAAAGCTCTCTTTTCATTTGTAATAATACAACAAGAAGTTTAGAAAACAAGAAAAGCTAGCTCTCTTTAACAACCTGCAAAGTTTAGGAATCTATATGCTTTACGAACTCCCAAATACACATATTCCATGTATGATCATCTCACAAAATCCAAGTATACCTCATACACAAAATGACATGTGAAATACAGTTGTTTAACAACCATTACTTTGTACTTCAAACTCAATGGATAAACATCCTGCCATAGCGACAATTATACACAAAAAGGGCAACATGAAAACCAAGCTGGGATAACCATAAGTTGTAAAAAGTTATCACAAATTCATTACAAAAATAGCCTTGTCCAAGGTCAAAATAAATCCTTAACAAAAATAAACCTTGGACAACATATTAACCGATTGTTAATAAAACAGCCCTATACAAAGTGACATGAAATCCTTAACAAAAACAACCTTGTCAAAGGTAATCATAATCCTATAACAAAACAACCTTTTACAAGCTAATGACAATCATGAACTAAACTACTCTTGACCAGAAGCTTCCATGGAGTCAAATAAGAGATGAAATCTTTCCCTCGCGGTTGAAGCATCTCCAGTAACTTGGATTTCTTCATCGGGTCTTTTTTCAATTTTCTAGCGGTCTACCAAGCAAAATTGGCATGACTTTTCTTTCCTATCCCTTAATTTCTGTAACAACAAAATGTTAACATGTCAGTATGGATTAAACAATGAAAAAATTAATTTATACTCTTAATACATCAGAACTATGATTTCAATACCAAATTTATACTTATCAAATAAAATAATCAGACAATAAACATATATCATGATTTGAACTGAAAAAATAAAAATTACATTGACATGAATGACATCATAACATATATTGAAGCTCAAGGTAATACTAACTCATTCTGGACTTTACCCATTTTACCAAAAAAATTACATTGACATCATAAAATATAAACGAACACATAGCAAATATTTTCTACGCACAAACAAAATAAATGATTACACAAACAATATTTTAAGCACACACAAACAATATAAATAAACACACAGTGAGAAGTTCTAACTTTCTCCTTCACAACGTTCTGTCATTTTGCCTCAAATAAATTCTGAACAATAAATATACATTTCAGTTTACAAAATAATTCAAAAAACAAGTTCATCTTAGAAATCCACAATGAATAAAATATGAAATTTGATTATGACACTACTACGATATGACCTTAGTAAATCGCCCCTTACGTATCGCTTTTGTATTTCAAGGGATGCTTAAAGTTTACGAATCGCTTCAAATTAATTAAGCGATGTTTAAATTTATTTTATGCATCGCTTAAACTAAAAATGCGATGCAAATACTTTTACGAGAATTTTAAATACATGTTGCATCGTTTTATTTAAAAAAAGTTGATGCATAAAGGTACAGAATATCAATTTCAATTAAATTAAACAATCCAACCTTACGTTAACAAACTTAATTCAATTTCAACCTTAATGCTATCAGTAGCATTGAACTTTTCCCATAAACAAGTTTCGGATCTCAGGTGTTATTAGATTATTCCCCCCACCGTTTGTAAATACAGCAACTGAAAACATTCTTCTCTGAAGCTTTACTACTTCCATCGTCCGACACCGTTCCGGCTTCGCGACTTCCACCGTCCTACACCGTTCCGGCTTCGCGACTTCCACCGTCCTACACCGTTCCGGCTTCGCGACTTCCACCGTCGTTCCGGCTTCGCGACTTCCACCGTCCTCTGTTGTCTGCGATTTCCACCGTTCACATTCCCAAACCTTCAATCCGATTAGCAGATCAGGTATGTTTACATTCTATTTGCGTTTATGTCTTTCGATTCCTCTATGTTGATTCTCTCTTTGACCTAAATTGGTTTTTAGTTTTGGATTTCTGTATCTGCTTTTAGATTATTTTAGATTTTTATTTGAAGTTTTGTCTATATATTTTCGTTTGATAAGTTGTATGTCTGAAATTGAATAAAAGTGTTATATCTTCACTCAAGGAGAAGGAAATTGCTACTGTATGTAAACTGTTCCTTAATCGATTTAGCAATTGAGAACGAAATTGCCTGACTCTAAGAGAATGAAATTGCTACAGTATGTAAACTGATCCTTAATCTATTTAACTGTAAAAACAATTTATTAACTGTTCCTTATTTCCCTTAATATGTAAGCTGTTTCATATCAATTAACTAAATTGTACACTTAGTTTGGTTTGGGGGGGGGGGGGGGAGGATGTGTCCCTTTATCTTTTTCCTTATCTGGTGTTGTAACCAAACTTCCTAATATGTACAGATGCCCACAAAAGGTGGAAATGACTTAGTATATACTCCGTAGTGTTTTTGGTAAAGTAGGTTGGTTGGAAGTGTCTGTCATGGGCTCATGGCCATGAAAGATGGATGCTCCCCACCTATATTCTTCAACAGAAATATTTCATATAGCTGCACTCGAAACTCTAATTTGGTACAATTCTCTTTGAATTTATTCCTTGATATATATATTTTTGTCCATGACTCTTTTTTACTTTTAATATTTAAGAAAACACTCCTAACTAAAAATAGTGGTGTATAAGTTATTTTTCTAGCTCAAATTGATTCCCCATTAAACCAATTATATGTTCATGCTTGAGAGAAGTAGAACCTTTAAAAGAGTGTGCGAGAATAAGTATATATAAAAAATTTACACTGTCTGATCATGCAGGTCGACCAGTTTCTCCACCACATACTGCTGCTAATTTTATTTGATTCTCAACTCTCCGTGGAACTTTCTGTACCGGTAAGCTCTGCTTTACCATTTGTTGTCGGCTTTATTACTGAATTTGTTAATTCATAGTTAATAAAATAAGAAACTTCAAATTAAAATGGAAATGATTAGGTTGATTTTTTTGTTTTAACTGAATATGCTATTTATACTTTTAACTTGAGTATTTGATAATAGGGAAAAAAATAGTTAAACATTGAAATGATTAGGTTAATTTTTTTTTCCATATCTTTACATACTCATTAACTAATTTTATTAAACATCACATTCTAATGCTATTGCTTTCAATATTCTGGATGAAACTTACTTAAAGTTGGCTTGACTTTTAGTTTATATTATTTTTCTTGAAAACGAAACCTTCTCAATATATGTTACATTACTCCTAACTCTTTGCCTGGTATGATCTCTATGTTTCTTTAATTGGTTTCAATTTGTTGATATCCTAAATCTTCTCAATATATGTTACATTACTCATAACTCTTTGTCATCTATTATCTTTATGTTTCTTTAATTGATTTAAATTTATTGATTTCCTAAACCTATGTTGATTAGATATGGACAAGCATTGGATTTCATGTAAACGCACTACATCTGAATTCCAACAAGGGGTTGAGGACTTTATTCAATTTGCATTCACACATAGAAAAGAAGGGGAAAAGTTGCCTTGTCCTTGTAGGAAATGTGGTAATATGTGTAAGGTATCTAGGGAAGATGAATTGCGTGAGCATATTTTCTGTAATGGGTTTTCAAGGAATTATACTGAATGGATATTTCATGGCGAAAGGGAAATTGGTAGTACCGTTAATCACCATGAATGTCATGCAAATCACTTAAATCAAGATCAAAGTGATGAAAATGATCAACTAGATGAGATGTTGCACGATATGGAGGATAATTTCACATACATGCCACACGTCTTCAATAGTATACAAAGAGATGCTGAGAAACCTTTATATGAAGGTTGCTCAAAGTATACTCGATTATCGGCAGTATTGAAATTATTCAACCTTAAAGCGGCAAATGGGTTGAGTGATAAGGGCTTTACAGACTTGTTGAAGCTATTGAAAGACATGCTTCCCATGGGTAATGAGCTTCCGGATTCCACCTACCAAGCTAAGAAGATTTTGTGCCCAATGGGGTTAGAAGTTGAGAAGATACATGCTTGCCCTAATGATTGTGTGTTGTATCGGAAGGAGTATAAGAATTTAAAACAATGTCCAAGATGTGGAACATCACGGTATAAGGTGAAAACCAGTGTTCATGACACAAAAAATGGCCCTCCAGCTAAGGTGTTGTGGTACTTGCCTATAGTGCCAAGGTTTAAACGCTTGTTTGCCAACGCTAAAGATGCAAAGAGTTTAACATGGCATGCAGATCAGCGCAAAGAGGACGGGATGCTACGACATCCAGCAGATTCCCCACAATGGAAAAACATTGATAATGTTTTTCCAGATTTTGGATGTGAATCAAGAAATTTAAGGTTGGGTCTCTGTACAGATGGAATCAACCCATTCGGTAAGATGAGTAGCCAACATAGCACATGGCCAGTTTTGTTGGTTATTTACAACTTACCACCTTGGTTGTGCATGAAACGCAAATATATGATAATGTCTTTATTAATATCGGGACCTAAGCAACCGGGGAATGACATAGATGTCTACTTAGCACCGCTGATTGAGGATCTGAAGATGTTATGGGATGAAGGAGTGCCTGTGTTTGATGCCTACCGTCAAGAGTCTTTCACGTTGCACGCCATGGTATATTGCACGATAAATGACTTTCCCGCTTATGGGAACTTGTCTGGTCACACAATTAAGGGATATAAAGCTTGCCCTATTTGTAGAAATAGGTGGAAAGGTTTCAAGACAAGATTAACTCGTGATTATTTCGTAACACAAAAGAAGAATGAAGTAGAGCATCCACCATGGAATATATACTCAGGAATCACTGAAGATGATTGGGAAAAATTTAAACAGATTCGTGAAAGTGATGAGTTCAAGGTAATTCTTTTTTATAAAATTGGCTCCCCACATCCTGACTTTGATTAGAAGATCTTGTTTATAAGATAAATTTATTAAACTGATAGAATAGAAACTGATATGAGATTATTGATCCTGATAGTCAATATTCATTGATACTATTTTGTTGTGACTCTTTTGAAATGAGGTTATGTGGTCTGCATTAACATGATGAATGCTTCTGTTGCATTAATTTCTGATAGTTGTCCAGGAGCATTATTCCATCGTTAACTTACCTCTATACTCATGCTCATTTTTTAAAATATGAAATAATGTCCCTCCTTGATTTCCTAATAACTTCATTTACCTCTTACTATTTTTTGTAGGAATTAAGTGAACAAAATCGAACAAACCAACAAGAGAATGAGCACCCTCATCGCATGGGTCGGGGAGGATATGGTCACGCAGACCAAGAATACATGCGCGCCAAAATCAAGGAAGCTCTTTTGTCAGCACCCTCTTCTTCAGGTGCTGAATCAGCGACATCTACTTCCACAGTGGCTACTAGACCTCGTTATATAAAGTGGATTGATGGAAGAACTGACAAGAAGGGACTTATCCCGAATCCTAAGACTCGGTTGGTGGTAAACACAATAGTAAGTATAACCGTTCATTTCAACTCATCACTTTTATCTTGGGCTTAAAGTTATTTATTTAGATGAGGCTATGTGAACTTATAATGTTTATTGTTGATTTATTTTGTTAATTTACAATGTTTGATTTTTAATTGCAAATAGCATGATTTGGTGGAAAAAGAAAAGGTTGGAGAGTTTATTCCAGTAGGAAGTCATGACATTTTGACTGAGGCGCTTGGGAATTCTGAACATGGTGGCCGTGTTAGGGGAATTGCAGGGAAGGCCAATCTCACATCTTTTTTTAAAAGAAAGAAGCGTCGACAAAATGAGATAATGGTACCTTTAAAACAACTGCAAGAATATGCCAAGCTAGTGAGGGACCAAACTATAGTTGAATTGGAAGTAAAGTGGGAGCAAAGAACATATGAGATTCTGAAATCTTGTGGTATAACTCCACCGTGTGATGTTGAGTTTAAGACGAGAGACTTTACCCCTCCTTTTCCAAATAGTAGCAGTGTTCACTCTTTTGAGCCCGATCCATTTGTAAACACATCAAAGGTATGGCAAATTTGTCATTATTTTCTTAAGTAACTCATATGTCATGAATAACTAAAATGAACTTCCCTATATGTATAGGATGAACTTCCCTGTGAGCTAAAAGTACCTGGTAATCGGGTAGTGGCAAAAGGAGTACTGTGTAAACATCTAACAGGGGAGCCTGTTCATGGGACTCCATTACTCAAAGACCATTTCATATTTTGCATGTACTTGCTGGAGAGGAGGACACACACTTACCAGTGCCATTCTTCGGGCATGATTTACTTGGTGATGTAGAAGGAAGTTGGGCTCAATGGCCAATAAAACAAGTTCTATTATCACAAGAGGTAAAATCCTAATATCATCATCATTCTAAGATATTGTATTTATGTTATCGTGTAGGAGTTATATTATGATTCATTTTCTTACATTTATGAAATGTGAAACTTATATGCTTATTAACACAAACCTACTTTCTGAATAGCAAGTTAACCACTCACACCGGAAAAAGAGGATGCAAACCGATAAAAGTTCAACTGATAGTAGGTTAAATTTTCAACCCCTTTCCCAAGAGGAACAAGATGTGGACAGTTCACACTTCAAAATCCGTGCTTCCACTGTTGGGACATTACCTCCAAGCTGCAAGAAACTCTATGGCATGCTTCAATCTCAAAACCAGGACTTCTGTTTTAATGTTGATCTTGGTGAATATCTTTTTCCCTCTTTTGGAAATCAAAAATCAAAAGCTTATGTAACTAGTGATGACATTGAGCAGTTTTTTAACATGGGATGGCTACACACATCAATTGTTCACATTTGGATAAGGTAAAACATAATATCTAAATTTTTCTAACTGAAACTTATGTTTTATGTACTAATTTATATGCAATTGTCTTAGGTTTTTGGACTCTAATTCCAAACATTATCAAATTCAAGACGAGATTGGATTTCTATGTCCTTCAAAGCTTGCCATGATTAAGAGTAGACCTTCTTATCTTGCGAGTTACTTGAATCATTCTATTTCCCAACTCAGAATGAAGAAGTTCTTATTTGCTCCCTTTCATCAAAGGTAAGTTTACTCATTAATTGATTTAATTTAGTAATTTATTAATTGTTAAATATTCTGCTATCATTTTTCGTATTCCACTTACATCAGAGATGGCTAAATTTTAATATTTATTAATTACTAAACAATATTGGTGAAACCTATTTATTAGTTAAATTTTGGTGAAGGCAATTGAGAAAAACACTATAACTGTTATTAAATTTAGATACTCATCCCTTGCAACACATTATAATTTGCTTGAAGCTGAATATGTATTTAGATGTTACTGAGATGCACCTATTGTTTTTAACTATATTTTCTAATTCTATAATTTAAAATTTTCATTGCAGCCATCATTGGATGCTTGTTGTGATTATTATGGAAAGAGCCGAGGCTTTACTCTTCAATTCATTAGGAGTTGGGTTAATGGGGCCCGAGTTTGAAGATTTGGAAATCAAAGGACATTTGTCTCTGTAAGTTTATTTTTGTATAATCTGCCATAAGTTGAGTTAACCTTGTTTAGGATGGAACTGCTTGCGCTGCAATCTGCTTGCATTTGAATTTACTTTTTCATACACACACACCTATATAATTACATGAGTCTGTTTAAGCATAGACCGATGAGGGGCTGTATCATTTGGTTATAAAATCGGCATATCAACTTCAATCACTTTATTGGTATCATATGAATTATTAGAAAAACATAATTTATTGGTATTTAATATGATATGTTTTGAAAAGAAAGAATGAAGTGTCCTGCGGTTCAACTCTTCTTTGTAGTACTCCCTAGTATTTAAATAGTGTGGTGTCATGTTCTTCTCAAAGTCCAGCTCAATCTCTCCTTTATCAATAAAATCATTACTGGAGTCTTCCCTTTTCAGTTTTCTCTGCCCACAGACTGCACTCATCAGGTTTCTCTCTTTCTTCTTGGACTTCTCTTAATCTGTTACTCTATTACCTGAGAGTTAGTACTGTAAATTGTTCTGTTTCTGCATATGCATTCTTCTCATAAGTTAATACTATGCGGTCTATATATGCCTCCTGATAATGTTTAAATATTTATTCTTTCTATTGTTCCCTTTTTTGTAAAAATGGGAGTGAGACTCTATTTTTAATATATTTTGGAAGAGGCTGTGTTGTAAGGGACGAATTTGGGTGTTCCATGAGCTTGTCCATTTTTTTTAAGTAATTAACTCCAAATATTGGTGAGCTACTGGGTGATGATTTTCAAAGTTTGAACAATTATCTCTTCTATTCCCTTGATCACATTTATTTGTGAGTAGCAGAGAGAATTTAAACTCCTTAATGTTAACTATTTGATTTAATTATATATGGGTAAAAGTACCAAATCAAACCCTCAAACTAACACCAATTCTGATTATATTTTCTGCAGTTTTCAATTTCGAACCACCTGTTTTTTTAAAACCTGCCATAACTTTACCAGTATGATTATCTATGTGGTTATTCTTGTATGCTATCTACATTTTTTTGAAAGGTTGTATGCTATCTACATGTGTATAACTACATGTATGTGTTTTATAATTTTTAGGGCTTATAGGACTCTAAACATCAACAAAGGATCTAAAAGCTCACTAAGATGGACTGAAGTCAAAGTAAGTCTTATGTTTTTTCATTTGATAAAATGGTCTTTATTTGTACTAATTGGATTTTTGCTATTATTTAGTGTCCTCAACAGTCTCATAAAGATGAGTGTGGCTATTATGTCATGAGATTTATGTATGATATATCACTTGGATTGCTAGAAAAAAGATCTATACAAAAGGTATTTATCTATATCACATGATTTATATATTTATATTATTGCATTATTCTAAACATTGATAGGAACTTCAATTTGAATTTGGCAGCTCTTTTGTCTAGATCCATACACTCAAGAGCAGATCAATGAGATTCGAGATACTTGGGCTAAATATTTTATTAATCATTGTGTGTAGTTGGATTGGATTATATTACTTTTTAGATATACAATCTATATTTGTATGGAGTGTGGAACAGTTCAGCTCGTTTTATGCGTCTTTTGTTTTACGTTTAGAATAAAATGAGATCATCTTTGCTATGTTCAACTTTAAATCAGTCTGTTTCATAGCTATTGTTGGTCATTCATGGTTTCAAACGTAATATATATACTACGTACAATCTAAAAGAGTAATTGAATTTTGAGATTGTTATGTGTATGCTTATATTTCAAAAATACAAAACTTTATGAGTCGCCTCATTAAACTAGCGATGCTTATGCCCATTTTTTAATTTAAAAAAAAACTTTATAAATCGCATCATCCGAATAAGCGATGTATAAAGTTTAACTATTGTATCGCTAAAAAAGCGATGCAATAGGTACCTTTACTTTATGCATCGGCACTTTATGCATCGCACCAAAGGCGATGCATTAGGGGTATTTTTGTGCGACTCCAAAACTTATTTTTGTAGTAGTGTGACAAATAGCATATATAAAAACAACTATAATTGCAACTTCAAGAAACATTCATTAAAATTTTATTGAAGCATTTAAACAAACATGTCATGTGCATAAAAAAAAGAAATAGATTAATTTGATTAAAATTTCAAGAATTAACATCACCCCATCTCATAACATTGAATCAAAATAATTATACATTCAACATCATACTAAATCTTTGCTTTTAAAACAACAAGATACATAAAAATCTGAAGAAGGAAAAATGTAGAATCCTAAAAACAAAAAAAAAATCGAAGTGAAGTATTACCTCAAGATTGAAATTTGTGAGACTAAGGGGAAGAAACTCCTTAGATAAGCTTTCGTGGAAGATTTTTGAAAAAGTAGAAAACAATAGAGGGAGAAATGGCGTAGAAGGGAGGGGGCCGGGAGAGAGGAGAGATAAGTGGGGAAAGGAGTAATGGGGTAAAAGTGGGGTAATTTTTTTTTTGGGTATAAGTAGTGGGCAAAAAGGTGGGTACTAATGTGTGTACAAAGAGCAAAATTGATTTGATTTTACGAAGAGACCTATGATTTTCAAAGCTTCTTTTCATTGGTAAAAAGGACCATTTTATGTTTACGTGTTTTGAACGTACAAACTCATTTGTACGCTCTAGTTGTGTTACTTGTGTGTATATATATATATATATATACAGACATTTGTATGGGAAAAACGTTATTTTGTATAAAGGAATTACTCATATTTTATGAAATTAAAACATATACTCTTATTCTTGTAATGTAGCTTTAATTTACTTATATTTAGGAGTTTACTCCATCTTTTATGATATCTAAACATAGGGGGCGGTCCCGGTGAGAAAGGATTTCCAGGAGAGAAATGAGAATGAATCTAGACCATTGGATTGTATTACCTGAAACTTAATTGTGCATTTAGTGAAATTGAAATGTACATTAGGTGAAATTGAAATGTACAAAATAAAAATAAACTCAAATGTGAATTACATGGAATTGAAATGGGCATAAAAGGCACAAAAATGTTACACTATCGTAGCTTTTGTTATGTACATTTCAGTTTCGCCTAATGTACAGTTCAGTTTCAATTAATGCACATTTTAGCTTCACATAATGTCACTATGACGTACATTTTGTGTTGCACATTTTGACTTCACGTAATGCACATTTCAGTTTCAACCAATGCACGTTCAATTTCACATAATTCAATCTAACGGTCCATATTTATTCTCATTTATCTTCTAAGGTCAGTTTCTCATTCGAACCTAATTCTTCGAACATATTGTGTGTACTTCGTATATCATTTATAGACAACCAAAGAGAAATCATTTTGTGCAGGTCAATAAATATTTGACGGTAAATATTACTCCCTCTGTCCCATTTATAAGATGTCTCTACTATTCACTTGGTCAACATAAAATCACTCTTAATCTCTTACTTTATATATCAAAATTTTATGAAATTTGAATTACTTTTTGCAGGTTTTGTAGCGGTTTTAATGTAGTTTCTGAATATGTAATTTTGTTTTTTCTAAAAATAATTTGAGCGCAGACAAGGATCCGTTTGCTTTATCGTCGCATTCGTCGGTCAAACATCGTAAACCGAAAAGTATCTTATAATTCGAGACGGAGGGAGTAATTAAATTGATAGCTTCACTAATACGATAATATATTTAATTACATTTCTCGCGTGATTGTGAGCTAGCTAGGCAATGCCTTTAGGGTATGTTTGGTTGAAGGAATGTCAGATTACCATGAGAATGTCAGATTGCTGGGTATGTTAGATTGATGGGAATGTATTCAATTTGTACCCATTTGTGTTTGGTTGAGACTAAAGGAATGTGACATTAACTTGTTTGGTTAAATCATATATTATACAACAAACTTGGTGAATTACTTCAATGCCCTTAAAAATATTTTCTCGTAATACCCTTATTACAATCGTCAGGGTCCCGAGAAAGAATGTCTTCATCGATAGGAGCCTACGTTTTTCATCGATCAAAAAATCAATGGACCACATGTCACCAATAGAATGACCTGATTATTCATGGACTTAGGGGGCAATTAATTAATTAGATTAGGGGTAGAAAATTAATGGTTGATCCTACTTAGGAAATATTAGATATTGACTCCTATTTAAGGAAAAGTTGCATGTTATATTTTACTCCTACTAAAGGTAATTCACTATCAACCACTAGTGAAAAAAATAAATGTTTGATCCTTAGCTTCTAAATCATTCTTACTTTATTCTAAATTTATTATTCACTATCAACCACATTAACTCTTTTTTTCTTAATAATAACACCACCTCCTCTTATATTAAGTTATCATGATCATTTAAGTTTAAAAGTTCAATATAAGTTATTATGATTAAATTACTGCTGTAATTTAATCAGTAGTGATTAAATCACTACTCACATTTTTGTAAACAATCTTTATTTTAGTCATAAATATGTAATTTATTCATTAATTTTTAATAAATCAAATTCAAAAGTATACATTTTGTATTTCTTAATCCAATACGGATGGGTTTGTTTTAAAAAATTCCAATGCGGATAGGTTAAGAAAAATAAAAAATAAATACTTTGTATGCTATTTAAACCATTTTGGTTAAATGAGAATGAGTATTTTTGGAATAAAATTCACTCTCACCAAGGAATGTAAGATAACCTAAGAATTGAGTGGGTTTGAGATGGAGGGGCATCCTATTACTTTCTCTTCTTTTTTGGAATGTGACATTCCCCCATACAAATAAACCTACGAACCAAACACAGATATTTCAGATTCCGGGCATGAGATTCCGGCCTGCATAGGTATCACCTTGAACCAAACATACCCTTAGAGTTTTGCTAGGTGTACACATTTTATGTACACCACTCATTTTTCATGCCTTTATTAGGCTGTAAAGAATTGAAACCGGAATGGAGGATTCAAAAGGAAAAGGTAAATTACCACCCCTTCTCTAAAGTGATGAGTACATATCCACATGGACGGATCTAGGAATTTGAGATGCCTTGGACGGAATAGAA